TATTTTTCTTCTCTGTTAAGAGATGGCTGGCTGAGAGGATAATGGCTCCCTGAGCAGCTGTAGAGTTGGGAGTCCTGAGGCATCTTGGTTGTGAGGGGAATGTGGGCTGCCTGCATGATTTGCTGGGTTTCATCACTAAATCTCTTAGAGAGAGGAAGAAGTTAATTACTGGAAGTGAAAAGATGGTGGAAGGTAGATGATTTTAAAGGATCCAAATCGAAAAAAATCTGAAGATTTGAGGCTGAATCTGTTGATATGTTTAGATTCCAAGTTATATCTTAAGTTACAGACATCAGCGTTTCTCTTTTGGACTGAAAATCTTAGAGAACAAAATTTTGATCAGATAAACAATGCTGATTCTATTCAAACACCAGGGCAAGTGCTTGTAGAGGAGGAGTAAGACACACATCACATGAATGTCTTACAGGACTCACCTGTAGAATATGAGGGCGGGAAAGCTTTTTGCAGAAGTTTCGCATCATGAGACAAGACATCCTTCAAAAAAAAAAAATTTGCTTTTGAACCACTGGCTTTTCCAAAATTGTTTCTGTTTTGTAACCCTCCCAGTAATCTCAAAGGGTTTCTATGGTTTTGTGCAAAGAATATAAAATGATGCTTCGTCCTCTCTCCTGAATTGAGTCCGTTGGGACTGTATAGGCCTGAATAGGAGCACTGTGGTTTCTTTGAAGAATGATAGTACTGTGTCTTTTGATTTATTGTGTAGTTCTTAATGAGTAATGCATAAATGTTTTTCCTGTAAAAAAAGTAAACTTTTTGGATTAAAAAAACAGTCTTCTTTTACCAACATTTTAAATTGTAGGTCTCTCTCCCCCATCTCCCCCATCAAAAATCCATATGGGGGCTGAGGTTGTAGCTCAGTGGTAGAGTGTTTGCCTAGCCTGTGTGAGGCACTGGTGCTGATCCTCAGCACCACATAAAAATAAATAAATAAAATAAAGGTATTGTGTCCATCTACAACTGAAAGAAATGTTTTAAAAATTCATATGGAATTATTAGTACTAATTTACATGCATAAAAACATACCCATGGAAAAGATATAGAGACATTGTGAGCACTGGGGTACATGTTTTTAATATGAGACCTCATGCTACTCTTCAATGCTTTAGAACTTGCTCCAGCCTAGTAATAACATGACCCTTGGGGACAGGTCTATATGAAGACCTAGAGACCCAAGTCATATTTTAAACTGCTGTCCACATCCCATACAATGGTTGTATTACAGTTTGTTAATCTCCCTATTGATAGGTAGTTATATTGTTTTTAATGTTCCACTTATAAATAATGCTGTATTCATTTCTTCATGGCCCTGAATGAGCTTTTTTTTAATATTAGTCCTTTTAGTTTTTTTTAATCCCTTATAATTGGAAAATGTTCTTTAAATGCTCGGGACCTATGAAATGTAATAGCTAATTTTATGCAAGGACCAACAGTATCCCTTAAAATTGCCCAAGTTATTTCCTTTGGTGAATTCTAAAGGTCAACTGGTACTTGTGATTTAACCAGGTATATGACTATTTGCAGCTTTTGAGACCATGTCCTTAACTTTTTAAAAAATGTCTTCATTAGTGCATTATAGTTACACGTAGTTGTGGGGTTCATTTTGACATATTCAAACATGTTATAGAATATTATTTGCTCCATTTCAGTCCCCAGCACTTCCACACTCCTTACCCTCCTCCCTCTCCTGTGTCCTTAACTTTTGATGTGGGTTTTCTTTATTCTTCTGCTTGCCCATCCTCAGAATCACCGTGACCTAGCTGGAGCAAGCAATGAGAAACTCAGTCCCTGCCTCTCATTCCTGTTGCCTATCAGAGTTTGGTTCAGCATTTTGGGGGGATGACTTCCTTTGGGATGATGAATTGGCATATTTTTATTTTTTTTTAAGACCTGTGATTATTCCCCATAACCTGGAAAAATCCCTTAAGAGTAATAAGACCTAAAGTTTCTTTCACAGTTGAGTGATTCATACCAAAGAATTTCTTAACAGCCCAAGAAGGAGTCATAACTATGTTAAGGGTCTTGTTGATAGGATTACTTCTGTGGCAAGGTAAGATTACCCTGATATCGGGTCCAAAAAAACAAAACGCCTTTATTTTTCTTTAGGTCTTTCACAAAAGAGCAGGCACAGAATGTACAGGGGCAACTACTGTTGGGATCAGAAGAATTACAAAACAAAAACAAAAACAAACAAACCCACAAAACCCCTCAAAACAGCAGCAACAACAAAACCCTGTGTGGATAGTATTAATCTTGCAAAAGGAATCGTTTGTGTCCCTAAGTTAGCTGCCCTGGACGTTCTGGATGACAGGCCAAGAATTAAAGAATTGTTAACTCTGTCTTCAACAAATATGCACAATACCTTCTTGGTATCCTTTTGACCTTCTTGAAAAGCAGATTGTTGTGTTAGATTCTCTAACAGTCTGACACAGGAGGATAGGCCAGGCTGCAGGTTCGTGAGGGTAGGTGACTTATCTTCTTGTGGCCCAAACACCTCCTCAGTCTGCCTCCTCTGTTCCTCACTGAATTATGCTGCCTTCCAAATGAGGTCATATGTTCAGACAGAAGTATATATTTCCATGTGCACAGAAGGGAGCCTTCGGGAACGTTGAGGCGTGCTGGGAAACTGCACACTCTCACTGTTGCTGTCTGACCACCGTAGGGCTGTAAGGTCTCAGAAATCACGCAGACGCTCGCAGGTACTGTACAACACCGTGCTTGGGCTTCACCCTCTTCTTGGTCTGTGAAGTGAGGAAGGCCTCAGATGCCTTCGTCCGGGTGAGGCTAAGAAGAACTTGCATTTGCTACCTCTGTGTTACCAAGGCTGTTTTGTGTGTCTGTTCCCTATGGGAGTTGAGTTCCTCACCTGCACTAATCTCAGATATCTACCCTTATTTCGATGTGTTTTTCCAATTCCGTGTTCCCCTTGTGTGCTTGATCCTCAAAATCATCTGAAATGCTGTGATTTTATGATCAGACAAGTTTAAGAAACTTGTTGTAAGATCTTGGCCTGATCTGATAGACCTATCTCTTAGAGTCAAAAATCAAGGTCCACAGCGTGTCCTTGCAAGCACGTGGCATCCTGCAGCTGCTCTTGACAGTGAATGGCTAGAAGTGCTAAGTTAGGAGGCACGCGTTAAGTTCCTAGGGTTCACTTCCAAACTCTGCGGAGGGTTAGTAAGTGCTGTGAGGTATGATAACGTGTGCACCCTGTTCCAACAAAGATGGAGTGCAGACATCCTGCCAACCTTGTGCTGGGTGCTGGGCTGTACAGCTGGGGACGAGGCAGTGGATACTGGGCTAACTGCTTCACATTTCTTTTCTCATTTAAACTCACACCTGTCCTTTGAGGTAGGTATTATTACCTCTTCATATTAAAATTAAGGGACTGATGTTTCAAAAAGTTCAATTGACTTGGCCAAGGTCACAAGGTTGTAATGAGGAATTTGGGGACCCTACCAAGTCTATCAGACTCAAGCTTCCCCCTGTTGATCTGCTGTACCCTTCTATATACTCCTCATGTTCCTCTTTTCTGCTTCAAAAAGCAGTTCTCAGCCCTGGCTACATGGTAGAATTGCCTGGGGAGCTTTTAAAAAATATCCTTGGTTGGGCTTCATCCCAAACAGATTTATTAAGAACATTTGATATGGTCCAGGTATGAATAGTTTTTACAAAGCTTTTTGGGTGAGACTTATATGTAAACATGGTTGAGAATCTTTGAGAGCATCATTAATTGACACCAAATAGACACTTCTTCTGCCGGCCTAGTAGTTTCCAACATTTTTCTTGGATCATGTGGCTGATTAAACTTTTAAAGACTTTAGATCCTTTTTCTACCCTTTTATACAAACCAAAATTTATTGAAATATATCACATACTTTCATAATGCAAAAGAGACAAGGACATGATAAAAGACCCATTGAACCAGGGTTTAGAAACCTGGAGATCTATTTTTAGGGGAGATATAGTCAACAGTAAGTATGAGTAATCACCTGGGGTCTAGCGCACCCATAAGCTCCAGGGTCTTTTTCATTTTATTCTAAACTGATGGGGAAAGAAAACCTTGAGACAAGTGGTAATTCTTAAAAGTTTCTTTCATCCTTGGTAAACACAGGTGATAGATGAACTTTTTTTTTTTTGTATATTCAAGTCAAAGTGAAATAAAAGCAAAGTAGTTTGGATCTTGTTAATTTTTGATGCATTAATATATGTAATCTAGACTAAAGTTTATTTTGAATGCTCTATGGGAAAATACTCTAAAAAGTAGATAATTAGATAGCTAAATTTCTTCAAGCTGTTTTAAAAATTTTTAACTGCTCAAACAATGGCAAGTATGTATACTTATATGAACTTCTAAGTTAAGAATTCTGCATTTCAGGCCTTCAACACTTGGTCAGACATCTTTTATATGGTCAGTAATATCTTATCCTTGTGAAGATGCAGTCTAATTAATTATTGACTCTGCTTATTAAATCTGATTTTGCCTTGTCTCCAACCAGTAAGTTGTGTCTGTTCTCTAACAGGTTCTTCTCTAAGCGTCTAAATCAAATATTAAGAGTTAATGGTCAGTTGAAATAACCATCAAGTTGTGGTCTATAAAATCCCTAGAAAGGAAAGCAAATTCAAAGGTCACTGTATTTCAGTTAGTCCAAGGCACTTCCATGAGAGAATAAAATAAAGGCTACTATAGAAGCAGGAAGACCTTCTAAACCAATGGCCTTTAGACAGAGAAAGAGAGGGCAATTACTGCCCTCCTACTGTTTTAAGTAACTTAAGGTGACTCTTACCTCACTCAGCATTTAAAATATTAGACATCAGTGCTAATACAGTAGTTGGTATGATCATGAAGTTCTGTTGGGGTCAAGAGTCATTTTATGACAATTATTATTAAAAGACCATTAAAAAAGTTAACAGGAAAGAAAAAAGAAACAAAAGAAAAGAAAAACATGAAAAATGGCCTCCTTTTTTACATTTCCACATAGGTGATCTCCATACCAGGAGATGAACTTGAACTTGGTTGGGCGGGAGACGGACCTGGTTGGGCGGGAGACTGGAGCCCCTCAGAGAATTTGGGATTCTTCCATTTTTACTGGGAGGGTTGGCAGGTATAACATGTGTTGTTATGTGAGTCCACGAGAGCCCCTGGGGCTCTCCCTCCCTGCCCTCCGTGTGCTGGGGAGTCAGTTGCTCACTCTGAAGCACTCGACTGGTTTCTGTCTGTGGCTTACCCATGAGCAGTGGCTTGGAAGTGTCAAAGCATGAGAAGCATGCAGTCCACAGCATGTGCTGCCATCACTCTCTACATGGTTCTGCATGGAAGCCCCGGGGCTGCCTGCCTCTGGGCTCAGGCAGCTCTTTCTTTCCCTACAGAACTCCCTGAAGGCTTCCAATCGGAAGAAGAAGAGAACAAGCTTTAAAAGGAAAGCCAGTAAAAGAGGAACTGAAGTAAGTGTTGGAGAGTTTGCTTTCAAGGAAATACAGCTTCCTTTCCATAGCCTGCTCTGTGCGGATGCCCTGGCCCAAGCTTGGTTTCTGACACAGATCCTACCTCTCTTTCTCCTTCTTTATATTCTAATCTCACCAGAATGCTTTCTGTTCCAAATAAATAAATAGGCGCACACACACAGGCACACACACACAGACATCTCAACTGTCACTTCAGAGTCCGAGCATATGCACGGAAACCTCGTCCCAAAGATTCTGATGATGATGATGAAAAAGATGAAGATGATAAGAATCCACATTTCTAGAATTCCTGGAGTACACAGAGTAAACTCAAAAGCAAGGCTTAATTATCTGAAGCAAATTATAGTTTAAGAGACTTCCAACTTATGTGTGGAGGGTCCTATGAAGAGTCATCCTTGCAAAAGAAGATAAAGGATTTTTTGGTGGATGGAGGGGTAGGAGGGAGTGCCCACGTTGGACTCCCACTTTCTTTGCTTTGCGGTTGCTTTCAAGGCATAGATTTCTGTACTAACTGTGTTGCTTGCTTCTTCCAGCAGGAAAACAAAGGTCGTCCTTTTGTGATAAAACCCATCTCTTCTCCTCTCATGAAACCCTTGCTGGTGTTTGTGAACCCCAAGAGTGGAGGAAACCAGGTGAGTCATTTGTCATGAGTTTGACTTAGAGCTTTAGATGATTTCTTGAAAACATAATTCCCAGTATTAATTAAAATAGCACCACCAGGACCCCAAGCATTGGCCGACAGCTAGTTTCACAGGACAAGGTTATTGTTGGCTTCATTGGGCTGGGCAAAGCCTGGAGATTCTGTGATTTATTCCTCTACTTCCAACTGGACCGAGGCAGAGGTCCTCCAAACTACTGACATTTTCTTTATATGTTTTCAAGAAAGATCATTCCCAAATTTCTCTTGGTTACTGTTTCAGGGATTCACAGTTCCCAAGGGATTCCTTGGGAATCCCTCTATCAAGCCATCTTTAGTTCTTCCCATTGTAACTTAGACCCAACTACTTTTGCCCCTCTCCTCAAGATAAGGGAGATGGATGACTCATGAGTCAGAGCAATTATTAACAGACACCACCAAAGCTGTAGAATATATAGGCTTCCAAGGATTTCATCCTGTCCTTGCCCAAACCCTTTTAGTAGGTAATGATTACCTTGAAAATATAGAAACAGCTTTACAAATATTTAGTGACACACCTAAAGTGACAATGCTCTTTAAAGGATAGAATTTGTTCTAAAATCTGGGTCTTTGTTCATCCATTTCTCTTCCCACTCTCTGGGGCTTCTTATCTACGCTTCTATAGACTTTGATTTCTGGTGTTTTCATGTGAACAATTTACATTTGGAGACAAGATTCTTTGAGGTTTCACAGTGAACAACTGGAGGTTGGAAGCTCTTTTGCCTCTGCATGTAAGGAAGGGAGTCCTATAGTTAGGATTAACCCCGTAGTCCAAAGGACATCATTGTTACTAAAGACACATTAACTATGTTAAGGCTTCTCTTAGGAGAGTTTATGATTTACAGGTAACATCCCTATCCCTCTTTTCTTCTTTTCTCAAGATTCTTGATAACTTGCTATGCTAAGAATGTGTTTTGGCATCGTAGAGATCAGGGGAAATAAATGTACTATAAACAAGGAAACATTCTTTTTCAGCATCCTTTGATTTTGAGTTGCTGAATGATGATCTTAATATTAAAATGATGGTGAATTCAAGTGTCCATAGAGGAGGAACTAAGAATGGGTTTCTTACCCTTTGAGGTTCAGTTTGCCCTGAACCATGACTGCTCTTGAGCTCACCTCCCTGTAGCCTACCAAGGGTTGGGATATGGTTGAGAACCATGGAATACAGCAAAGTGGATGTAGTTGGCTTTATGATTTTGGCCACCTGAGTGCCACATGCTAATTAATATCAAATTATTTTATCATAACAGTTCATATAAAATCCATTTTATCATGAAAGGTCACATAAAAACACATTTACTAAGTCATTATAATCAAACTTTTCTCCTAGGCCCACAGAAGCTTGTGAGTTGTGCCTGTCTTCATAGATCTGACAAGTTAAGAAACAGCTTGTTCCTATTCTAGTCTTTGTGTAAATTGTTGATGACAGGGTCTTCAGAGATTAGTGTCATTCCCTGTTTCATTAAACAGAAAACAAAACAAAAAAATTGAAAGCAAGAAGATAGGGTTAAGTGATTTTTTAAGGATTTGTGTTTTTTAATGACACAAAATAGAAAAACAAAATAATTCAAATAACTTTCACTGTTATTCTGAATTGAATGGCTCTGACTGAAAGTGCTGTGAAATTTTAAAGGCAAGATATGACTTCAGGGTGATAGGTAATCTTTTATTTCTAGCACACAGTACGTGGCAGACTAATAATTGTATAATAAACAATATGAATAGAAGATCAGATGTCATGATGGAAATTATTCACTTCAAGGACAATGTGGTGAGTGGAGTGTGCATATTAAGTTATTGGAATGGGATTATATAAAGATTAGAATGAACCTATGGAAAACTTGGATGAGGATTTTGGATTTGTGCAAAGGCAACTAGGTTTTTGCTGTTTTTAAAAAATTTTAGGTTTGTGAAATCTTTTGGCTTTTGAACAGAGCAGCGTGATTACATTTAATATGCAGTTTGCTTGGAGATCCTGCTACTGTTGCAGATGCTGCCTCAGTAAGTCAGGGATGGCTCTGAATCTCCTGGGTAGACTCTCATTTCTAACCAGCTGCCAGGTGCTGCTAACCCCTGCTGCCCAGAAAGCCACTCTGATTGGCAAGGGCTTACTGTGTTACCAATAATAGAGGAAAAAAATCAGTTGGATCCTCATTTTTGCCTTCTAATAATTTACTTATCCCATTATCTGGTTTTTGGATATAAAATATTTAGATTTTATTTCCTCTCTGAAACTTCATCTACTAGATGATAGCGCCATCTCCTGGCAAGAAAAATACCTGTGGCTTTTTTCTTATACTCTATTATATGTATGTCAGGAAAATTTTCAACATGGTATAAACAAACACAGGAGTTACTTCTACGTCCTTCTTTGAAAAAAATGCATTAGTTTATATATTTTTTTTTAGTCTTAAGCTTTACAAGAATTGTCTGTTTTTCCAACATTTCCAAAGTGGAGACTATATTGTTTTGCAAAGGCTTGGACACTGGTAGTGCTGTAATTATTGTTGAGATCTGAATTATTTGAGGAAACAGGCACTTAGATCAGAGATGGAAATATTTTCTTTGAACAACTCCCCCTGCAGGAAGGAGGTAGTAGATGGAAGACAGAGCTTACCTCAATATGGACCCCTCCTCTGTATGGGAACTTTAGAGGACTAGAGAAGTAGGGCCCCTCCCTTATACTTCTACTTTAATTTCAAAAACTATGATTTCTCTTTGATGGCCCAGAGTCACTAACATCTTTCTAATTTGAGTCTTGAAGAGTTTTTGCTGCCTCTCAATGTGCCCTGTGTTGGCTTGCTTTTTCTTTCTCTCTTTTTCCCCTACCCCTATGTTTTTTTTTTATTTTTTTACTTCATTCCAGATGATTTGCATTATAAATTTAGGGTTAAGCAGATGTTCTGACACTAGAATGATTTCTGCCACCCAGTTCTGAGAGTCGAGGGTATGAGACTCTGCTCTTTACCCTGACCTATGTGCAGTTCCAGGGCAGAGGGATGGTAGACCTTGCATCCCTGGGTCAGGGCTCCAGGTCCTGACAGGAAGGAGCATTTGAGGAAGGGATGTTCAGCCGGTGGACAGGCTGTTGCTGCTGAGCCCATACCACCATCTGCCCACAGGATCCCTTAGACAAGTCCTCCTTCCCAAGTCAGGGGCCAGTCACACTAAGGTGGGGAGAAGAGGCAGATGAAGAGGAAATACTTCAGAGGAGGAATTTCAGTCTTCAATCTGTTTCTAAATAATTGGACAAACAATTTCAATGAGGAAGTTGGTTTTTGCAGTGATGGAGATGTTTCAACCTGGAGATAAATAAAAGTGTAGGCTCCCTAAGGGTTAGCATTGCCTGGGAAGAGGACAGAGGAGCAGAGAGTAGATGAGGGCATGTGTTAAAATACAGCCTCAAGATCTTCTTGGTAAACCAACATCAACAGATGGGATCAAAACACTCAAACCACAAATATGTATAAAGCTCCTCTTCTAAATTGTAATATTGGTGGGAACCTGGGGGTGGTAGGACACTAACCAAGCCATGGGGCTTCTTTGCTAGGCCTAGAACCTGCATGTCTTAGCCAGACTGGTGCTGCATTAAAATGTTGGTCTATTTCTGATTAAAGCATTTCAGTGATTCTTCGTTTTCCACAAAGTGAAGTTCACACTTTTTAGCTCACACTGTCTGAGCAGTTGTCTCTTGCATGATCTAGATAATGTCCATAAGAACCAAGACTTGATCATATGGCAGAATTGTTGGCAGTGCTTTGATGAATCTGTGTGCTGTTTGAGCTGACCTGTATTTAATTGCTTCTCCGTAGCCCCAAGTCATTATTGCCACATTTTCCTCTATGAACAATGCATAGAACTTCCTTCTGAGAGCAAGATGATCTCTGGTTCATTCACCCACCTAAAACTGCTGGGCACAAAGCAGGGGAATGAATGAACCTTGTTCATTTCCTTCTATAACAATCCACTTATTTGAGGGGAAGATGCATTTTCCTGAGAGCTGGAAAGGGTAATTTTTTTTTAACCCCTCAGGAATACCCAGTCACATAGTATCTCAAAAAGTTCTGTGGTCAGTGGGGTATTATCTCTGCGATGTGTATTGGAATTCATGTGTAAATTACTTTTTTTTTTCATTTAGAGAAAACCAAACTCTTGCAGAAAAGTAGCAACTCTTTTGTTTGTCACAGAGCCTGTGGTAACTACAGGAGTGCTTGGGACATGCTAGTGACTGACAGTTGTATAAATGACTGGGTAGATTTAATCCTGCATTGAGAAAGAAACAAATTACTCTTTCCCCAGTGAATTAGTATTTGTCAGGCCATTCAATTCTATTTAATAAATTACCTCTATTAAAGCCCTAAAGTAGCTTATCCTAGAGGTGGCAGCAGAGTTAATGGAACTCACTTAAATGTGTGAATTAGACCTTTTTCCCCCACCTGCTAGGATTGATTTTTTTTTTCAATTGTTTTTATTCAAACATTTATTTTTCCTAATGAATATCGTGTCTTGGAAAGAAGATTACTTTTTTTTTAATTATTTTTTTTCTTTTTAGTTATACATGACAGTAGAATCTATTTTGATATATTTATACAAGCTTGGTATATATCTTATTCTAATTAGGATCCCAGTCTTTTGGATGTACACAATGGTGAGATTCACTGTGGTGTATTCATATATGTACATAGGAAAGTTATGTCACATTTCACTGTCTTTCCTTTTTCTATCCTCCCTTTCTTCTCTTCATTCCCCTTTGTCTAACCCACTGAACTTCTATTCTTAAAAAAGTAATTATATCATGCTGAATGTCAGCTCTGATAGGGTAGCCATGCTTGGTCATTCCTGCTCAATTCCCAGGAAGCAGCATCATCCCAATAGATGGCTTCACAAATGGCACCTCCCCAGGACATGCAGTGAGCAACTCACCAGCCTTCATTAATACCCTTCCCTGGAAAGAATAATTTGAGATAATTAGGTTCCCACTAACACAAATTGAAAATTAGCAAAACCAAAACAGTGCTGCTGTTCACATCTTTTAGAGAAATTTTAGGTTAAGGAAAAATAATCTCTCCATGTTTTTATTTTTACATTTCTGAAAGGTGTTAATCACCTTGTATCATATGCATAGTAGGTGAAGCTGAGATTGAGATGTGCACTCTAGCACAGCAAAGGTAGGAAGGAGTAATTAACACCAACAATTCACACTGCTCAGGGAATCCAAAACTGAAAAATTAATTTTCTAGCAAGTTGGTTGGAAATGTTCTATAAATTGGTTGGTCATTAAAATGACTCTTATGTTACTTATTAAACATAAAAGATTATTGAAATAATCCCAAACACACTTGGGAGCAAGGCCCAGCATGGGGAGAAAGAAAATGATCCAATTTTGTTAGCATTATGTCTCTAAATCTGTTTGTATTTGACAGGGAGCAAAATATGTCCTGTGGTGAAACTGAAGGACTGCTGGTAATAATTATGAGTAGAATGTTATTCCTAAAATTATAGCAGGCACATGATAAAGCAGAACTTTTAAATTGCAGGTTTGGATGATACTTGGAACAAAAGACCTGCATTGGCCTCTGTAGCAACTGGCATAACAATGTGATAATTACAAACTACGCTTTAACCCTCACACCATCAAGTGCAATTTAATGCATAGATTAACAAAGAGCAAAAAAGAAAGGCACTCACATTTATCAAGGTCTATTTTGTGCCACATACCATGCTTGATACATAACTGCTCCCGTTTCACTTAATTCACATAATCACCGTGGAAGGTAGAGGTCCCTTCTGGTTTATACACGGCATTTCTGCAAGATTGTAAGTGTTCATGATCACGCAGTTAGAACATCCAAGTTAGTTCTGACTCAAATGTCATGCTTTTTCTACCACAGGAGGATGACTCTTAAATACAGTAGATATGATACAAATTTAGGAATATTTTAGGAAAGAGCAAGCATGATATTCACTAACAGAACAGAATTACAACCGACCAACTCTGCTTAACTGATCAAATATTATTTGCTCTGAGGTTCATAAAGTGAGGCATCCCACTTAATTTTAAAGCTCTTTTGGTATTGAGTAATGAAAAGATCATTTATTTCTTTTTGCACAGTTCCCTGTAAGAGATTATTTCCAAACTGCCTTTTGCCTTTCTTCCTGATCATCTTGTTTTTAAATATATATATTTTTAAGTTGTAGTCAGACACAATACCTTTATTTTATTTTTATGTGGTGCTGAGGATCAAACCCTGTGCCTTGCACATGTTAGTTGAAAGCTCTACCACTGAAGCACAACCCCAAACCCCTGATCATCTTGATACAAGTCATAGTTATTTAACACACTCCAAAAACTTTCATGTGACAGAGAAAGGTTTGGTTTAAATTGACATAGACATGGAGATTGGAAAAGTCTCAAAGTAAACTATAGTCTTACTAACTTGGTACAGTTTTATATAAGACTTGTATATATATATGACTTGTATATATTCCCAGTAACTGTTAGAAAAAAAATGAAATCATGCTTTGCCAATACTACCCAATTTCTATATTATGCAGACAATAATAATCTGTGCAAAAAGTAAAAATTAGGTTACAGTGCAGATGCTGATTGTTATCTTTCCTGTATGCATTTCCACACATTAGGCAATGTTAATAAAGTTATAAATACCATTCATTAAGTGCCTATCACACACCAGGCACTATGATGTGCTCCTGGACCATTGCATTTAACACTGGCAACCAGTTTGTGAACTAGGCATCTTATCTCTATATTAAAGAGAAGGGAGATGGAAGTTAATGAAATTAAGAAACTTGCCCAGAATTGCACATTAGACTAGCATCTCACTTTGCTGTTCAACCTTTGTTTATCTGTGAACAAAGCTCATTATTTTAACAACTTTTCTACATTTTTTATAAGTAAATATTGTTTTAGAAAATTTCTGCATTTTTATTTTTTAATATTGGGAAATTTTTATTATTTTCATTTTTTTCTCTCTATTTCTACAGGGAACCAAAGTCCTACAGATGTTCATGTGGTATCTGAATCCACGGCAAGTTTTTGACCTTTCGCAGGAAGGGCCAAAAGATGCGTAAGTCTGGAATATCCTCCAGGATCCAAATGTATTGTAGGCAAGATAGAACTTTCTGATTTGAGGGTCAAGCTCCTTACCTGATTACCTTGTGAAACATTTTTTGACCATCTCTTCTCTACTCTCCCACCTGTACTTTCTTACCTTTAAAATGTTATCTGATGATCTCTTTTATTCTTTCTTGTGTTACTTTCTTTCAAAACATAAAATGGATGGAGTTGGAGAATATCATGCAAAGCAAAATAAGCCAATCTCAAAAAAACAGAGGCCAAATGTTTTCTCTGATAAGTGGATGCTAATCCATATGGGGAGGGTATGGGCTGAGTGGAGGAACTTTGGATGGGCAAAAGGGGAGATGAGGAAGGGGGGAAAGGGGTAGGAAAGACTGTGGAATGGGATGAACATTATTACCCTAAGTACATGTATGATTGCCCAAATGGTGTGACTCTACTTCATGCACAACCAGAGAAGTGAAAAATTCTGCTCCATTTGCGTCAATGAATTGAAGAGCTTTCTACTGTCATGTATAACTGATTAGAACTAATAAATAAATAAATAAACATACTTCTCAATGGCTGACTCATTGATTACTTTCAATGTATTTGCTGCTCATGTGTGTTGTGTGCTACTGTAGATTATTCATAGCAAGTTGTGAACTGAGAAAGGACCCCTTATTTTTCTGTTTATGCATGTACAACTTTGGAGATGCACACTTACTTGCAATGCGGGTTGACCTCTGGGGAGCACAGCCATATTTATTTGTGAATATTTGGTTTGGAGGGCTTGCATGTGTGCATATGTGTGTGTTTGAGAGATTGATTGATTGATGATTTTAACTGTGGGCTCTACACCAACATGGGAAAAACATTTAAATTCCTACTCAATCCGTTTTTCGAGTTTCTCAAAAATCTCATTCTCTGTTTTTGCTAGAATGTTCAAAATTAGGTCAACATGAAGGTGATTCAATGTGCATGGTGGAAAAGAGCCGGATCACTTTTGCTGTTTTGTACTTCCTGTTTTAAAGCCACCTACTAAGAGAGTTCTGATGTTATCTGATTAACTTTAAAACATAAAGGATAGGAGTTTTTTAAATAAGTAGCAATATCAGAAGCAAAGAGATGTCAACTCAGATGATTTCTACAGAAATACTATTCCTGCATGAATGGATAGATTATATATTTTAAACATGCAGAAGAACATGAATTATGAAACTTAAATTTGTCATTCCCCAAATCTTTGCCTTTCTTTGCCACTAGAGTTTGCTCTAAGCCTTTTGTATTTTTTTCTGTATTTGATTGTGCTAAGACGAATCTATTACGCTGGCTTGTGATTTTTATCTGTTGACATTTAATAAGATTTTATCACTTTAGTGAGACCTCAGATAGATTCTTTATAGGTCACCATAGAAAGTAAGAAAGGACAGGAAATATTTTCAGAAAAAGAAAACATCCTTTTACTTCAACAGGTGATGTTTTCTAGAGCAGACCCAGTAATAGCTTCATTAAGTAGCAGATGATCACCAGGGGCAGCAGCTCTACATCTTCTTGAGAGCCATCTGGTAGGAGAACACAATCTGTCCTCAGCAGGCAAAGTCAACAGTACAGGAAAATCAATAAATCTTCCCCTCTTGGGCTGGGAGTGTAAGTAGGGCTGTGAGTGAGTCCATTGAGTGATAGACTTGTAGGTTTGGTTATAACAATAGTGGAGAAAATCTCCATTTCTCTAAAAAAAAAAAGTTCTAGAATTAAGAGTGGGAATACAGATTTAAAACTAAGTAATTCTAGGAAAAGCTAATATAATAATAAGAAGACATATAAGGGGTATTGTTTATCAATTAGTGGTGGTTTTCTTTAAGAAAGGAGAAGAGTGAATGATAGGAAAAGAAAAAGAGAAAAAGTCAAGAACTAAAGAGAAAAAAATAAATACGAGTTGATATAATAAAGGGAAGCATGAGAAATAAGAACCCAGGGACACGCCCAAATCCCATTCAGTATTGGCCATTTAAAATACTGTTGGCTTCTACCTGTGGTCCAATTGCTGGACGAGTTCTCCTGTGGTTACTTGGACCAGTTTTAAGGGTATTGTCATCCTCAGGATGGCACATTTTTCCCAGGGGATGCCACCTCCCCGATCATGTCCTGTGTTTTCTCTTTGCTACCCACAGTACTTGTTCTTTTGTTTACTTTTTCTTCTGTTTGCTCTTCAGGCTTGAGCTCTACAGGAAGGTACCTAATCTGAGAATTCTGGCCTGCGGTGGGGATGGAACGGTAGGTCCTTGAAAGAGAATCTGGTTCTCTCCCTTCTTTCCTCTTGTTTTCCATGTGACTGTTTTCTGTCTTCGTTTCTGATCTTCCCAACCCCATAAAGTGAACGTGTCTGTCCTGTGAATTGTAGCCCCAAGGCTTAGAAGAGACTATGCTATTGTCCTCATGGCTGCCTACTTGACCTTTCTAAAGTCTCTTCACTCATCACATACACTATACCTGTCCCTCAAGGTGAGGATACAGGCATATCAGTGAAATGAAGAATGGAGACAGTTAAATTCATTTTAAAATAAAAATATTTATTCACACTTATAGTTAATGGTTATTTTTTTAAAACTAACATAAAAATTCAAAATTGTACATATTAGTCAGGTGGTGTTTAGATACATGTATTCATTGTATAATGTTTAAATCAGGTTATACATACGTATCCCTTCAAACAGTTATCATTTTTTTATGGTGAAAATATTAAATCCCTTCTAAAGTTTTGAAACATACAGTACCTCATGGATATCTTCGTTCACTCTGCTGTGCAGTAGCATGTCAGAATTTCTTGCTCCTAACTGTGACTTAGTTTCCAGTGATCCCTCTTTCTCCATCCATCCCTTCCCATCCCTTCCTTCTCCTCTTACTATCAGAGTTCTACTCTCACATTATGAGATAACCTGGCTTTGATTCCACATACAAGTGAGATCATGTGGTCCTCGTCTTTCCATGCCTGGCTTCTTTCACATACTATAATAATCTCCAGCTCTAGAAAACATCACCTGTTTAAGTGCTGCAAATGACAAGATCTCCATGTCTGGAGAGTATTGCATGGTATATACTTTCTTTATCCATTCATCAGTTGGTGGACTTAGCTTGTTTCCGTCCCTTTGCTATTTTGAATAGTTTTGCAGTGAATTTTCCTGCTGAGGCCGATACTGATTATATTTCTTTGGATAAATGCTCACAAGTAGAATTGCTGGGTCCCATGGTAGTTTTTAATTTGTTGAGGAGCTTCCATGTTGTTTTCCACAGCGGTTGTTTTATTCAGCTTTTCTGTCGTTGAGACCAAAAGACCTGCAAGAACAATTTTAGAGCAGGAAAAGTTTATTTGGTGCTCTTGGTTTCAGAGGTCTCATTTCATAGACAGCTAACACCATTCCTCTGGGTCCAAGGTGAGGAAGAACATCATGGTGGAAGGGTGGGTGTGGTGGGGGAAAGCAATTTAGGATATGGCACCAAGAGACAGAAAGAGAGCTCCACTCACCAGAGACAAAATATGAATTCCAAATGTACGTCCCCAGTGTCCTATCATCTCCTACCATAGCCTGTCTTCCTACAGTTACCATCCAGTTAATCCATAGTAGTGGATTAATCCGTGGATTAAATTACAACTCTGGAAATCTAATGATCTCACCTCTTGGTTCTTCTGTTTTGTCACACATGAACTTTTGGGGAACACCTCGTATCTAAATCATACAGTGGCTATTCCTGTTGACCACAGTGTCCTAGGGTTTTATCCACATCCTCACTAGCATTTTTTATCTTTTTTTTTATAATGGCCGTTTTTACTGGGGTGAAATGCCATTTTATTGTGGCTTTGTTTTACATTTCCCTGATAATTAATGATGTTGAAAAATTTTTTATGATCATTAGTGTGTCTTCTTTTTAGAAATGTCTAATTAGGTTTAATGCCTGTTTTTTAATTGAGGTATTTCTCTTCTTTCTATTGAGTGTTCTTATTTCTTACATATTCTGGATATGAACCCCTCATGTCAGATGTATGGTCTGCACACACTTTCTCCCATTCTATCATCTGTCTCTTTACCATGCTGTTTCCTTTGCTGTGCAGAAGCTTTTAAGTTCAATGGAATCCCTGACTATCTTCACTTTTTCTTTTAGTGCTTTTGGGATCCTGTTAAAAAAAAAAAAAAAAAAAAAAAAAAGCTTGCCCATTCCAACATCCTGAAGTGTTTCCTTTACACTTGTAGTAGTTTCCTATTTCCAGGTCTTACATTTTAGTCTTTAATCCATTTTACTTTATATTTGAAATGGGTGAGAAGTGGGGGTCTAGTTGTATTCTCTCAGCATCCTTTAATGAAAAGACTATAATTTCATTAAAGTGTATTCTTAGAACACTTTGGTTTTTCTTTTAAGGTTATTTGGTCATAGAGGTGTGCATTTACTTCTGGGCTCTCTATTCATTCCCTTGGTCTGTGTTCCTGATTTTATGCCAGTGCCATCCTGTTTTGATTACTAAAGCCTTGTAGTGTGGTGCTTCCTGCTTCATTCTTTTTGTTCATGATGTCTTTGGCTATCTGTGCTTTTTTAAAGGTTTCATACAAATTTTAGTATTTTGTATCTAGTTCTGTGAAAAACGTCAGTTATTTTGGTAAGGGTTGCATTACATCTGTAGATCGCTTTGGATAGTAGTGTGGACATGGTAACAATATTGATTCTTCTAATCCATGAACTGACGGTGTATTTCCACTTTTTAATGTTCTCTCCAGTTCTTTTCATCACTGTTTTATAGTTTTCATTGTAGACGTCTGTCACCTGAGTGGTTAAATGTATTCTTAGGTATTTTATTTTTTGTATCTATTATGAATGGTAATTGCCTTCTTGATTTCTGTTTCAGATAATTCACTAGTAGTGATTTTTATGTGTTGATTTTAAATCCTGCTACTTTGCCATCTTTGTTTATTAATTCTAATAATTTTTATGGAGTCTTTGTGTTATATCATGTCATCTACATACAGTGATAGTTCAGCTCCCTCTTTTACCATTTATATACCCTCCACTTCTTTCTTTTGCCTAATTTCTCTGAATAGGACTCCCAGACTATGTTTAGTGAAAGTGGTGAAAATGGGCACCTTGTCTTTTCCCCAGATTTTTAAAAAAGACTTTTAGCTTTTCTTCAGTCATTATAATGTTAATTGTTGATTTATTATAAACTGCCTTTATGATGTTTAGATACATTCCTTCTATACCTAAGTTGTTCTGCATTTTTAGCATGAAGGGATGTTGAATTTTATTAAATTTCTCTTCTGCCTGTATTGGGATGATCTTAACTTTTTGTCTTTCATTCTGTGGAGATGATGTACCATACTTTTGAATTTGCATAAATTGAACCATCCTTGCATCCCTAGGGTAGATCCCAGTTGATGGTATAGAAGAATATTCTTTTTAATGTGCTGTTGAATTCAGTTTACTTGTATTTTGGGGATTTTTCCATTTATGTTCATCAAAGAAATTGGCTTGTAGTTTTCTTCATTTGTTATTTCTTGTCTGGTTTTGGTATTGGAATAATGCTGGCCTCATAGAATATGTTTGGAAGAATTCCCTCTTCTTTGACTTTTTGGAATAATTTAAGAGAAATTGATACTCATTCTTTAAATGTTTGGTATACCTAAGTAGTGAAGTCCTCTGATCCTGGGCTTTTCTGTGGTGGGAAACTTTTTCTCACTGATTAAATCTAATTACTTGTTAAGGTCTTTTCAGGTTTTAAATTTCTTTATGATTCAATCTTGGTAGGGTATATGTGTCTAGGAAATTCTCCATTTTTCCAGGTTATCAAATTTATTTGTGTATATTTGTTCATAACCTTTAATGATCCTGTTTGTTTCTTGGTGTGAATTGTTGAGTCTCATTTTGCTGTGTCTTTCTCTCTTTTTTTTGGTACAGCTAAGGGTTTGTCAATTTTGTGTAGCTCATCTAAGAACCAGCTCTTTGATACATTGATATTTTATATTTTATTTTTTGTAATCTTTATTTATTTCTGCTCTGAGCTTTATTACTGCCTTCTACTAATTCCAGATTTCTTTTCAATAGATTGAATACAGCAATAGAATAAATACAGCAATAGATTGTTTGTTTTAGATCTTCCTGCTTCTTTGATGGAAATATTTGTTGCTATAAGCTTTTGCTATATCCCATAGATTTTGTTTTGTTGTGTATCCATTTTCATTTGTCTAAAGAAATCTTCAGTTTCCTTCTTGATTTATTCTTTGATCCATTGGTTGTTCAAGAGTAAGTTGTCTCATTTCCTATTTGTATGATTTGCATTTTTTTCTTTTAATCAATTTTTAGTTGTATTGTACTGTTGCATAAAGATACTTAATATAAAATCATTTTTTTAATTTGTTAAGACTTGTGACCTATTGTGTGATCTATCATGGAGAATGCTCCACGTGCTATGAGAAGGCTAGGTTTTCTGGAGGTATGGATGGAATTTTCTGTAGATGTCTGCTAGGTCCATGTGGTCTAGGGTGCAATTTAACTCTGCCATTTCTTTATTGATTTTCTGTCCAGATGATCTGTCTATTGATGAAAGGGTAATTACTTAATCTCCCCTATTGTTACTGTGTTAGAGTCTCTTTCTCCCTTTAGATCTAATAAAAGTTGCATAATATATTTGGATTCTCCAATATTGGGTGTATATGTTTAGAATTTTTTTTTGTTGCTAAATTAACCCCTTATACAGTGACCTTCTTTGTCTTTTTAGTGCTTTTGATTTAAAATCTATTTTATCTGATGTAACTATGGCTACTTCTTCTGGCTTTCGGATTCCATTTGCCTGAAATATCTTATTCTATCCCTTTACTTTTAGTCCATGCATGTCCTTAGAGGTGAAGTAAGTTTCTTATAGGCAACATATAGTTTTTTAAAAAATTTATCCATTTGCTGTGACTTTATTTAGAAATTTTAATCCATTTACACTTAAAATAATTATCAGTAGGTAAAGGTTTATTATTATTATTATTATTTATTATTATTATTTTGGTAGTGCTGGGAGTTGAACCCAGAGCCTCTGATATGCTAGGCAAGAATTCTACAACTGAACTATACCCCCACCCCTAAAGAAAGTTCTTAATATAGTTGTTTTATAACTTATTTTCTAATTTTAATATAATTTCTTTCTTTCTCACTCTCTTACAATCTCCTTTTGTGGTTAAATGATTTACTTTAGTAGTTAATTTTAATTGCTCACATATTATTTTTTGTCTATCGCAAATTTT